AGAGGTCTTCTAGTCCAACCCCCTGCCTAGGCAGGAAACCCTATACCATTTCAGATAAATGGCTATCTAACATCTTGTTAAAGACTTCCAGTGTTGGGGCATTCACAACTTCTGGAGGCAAGTTGTTCTAACTGATTAATTGTTCTAACTGTCAGGAAATTTCTCCTCAGTTCTAAGTTGCTTCTCTCCTTGATTAGTTTCCAACTAATTTTTTTTTTTTTTGCTTCCTACTAGGCAAGCAAAAGATGAAACACGTGGGTTTCTCTTCAAAAAAAAATGGAGAGAAAGACAATCTGAGTCCTAGATAAACAAGAGAAGGTCTTCTTTCGCCTTACCTCATGTAAACGGTTTGTCATAGACGGGGATGGATGAGAGTTATGTTTCTCAACTCTGGGGAGCCAAACTCCTTCAATGCTGGATCCAGCTGACAAGATTTCACTGGTGGAACCATCCTTTCTCCAGAAGGATGGCTTTGTTTCAACCGAGTCACGTAGAGTGTGCTGCATTAGAAGAAGAAGAGAGGGGTTTCAAAACCACTGGGCCCACTTTGACCACAAATTATCACTTCTATAGAAAACATGGTACAATGATTTTTTTTTTAATCCTCCTTTCTCGCTGTGTATGTATGTGGTGGCATTTGTTCAGCTGGATGGCTGTCTCCTTTATATCTAAAATAGTCTTTCTGACTGAGAAAAATACATTATTGCACCAAAAGGTCTGTAGGAGCTCATGATCCAATAAATGTGCTATTCTGTAAGGGTCTCAGAGGTTTTTTGTAACCGCTATATTAACAGTTCTGATTCCTCAATAGGATCTTTCTAGAACAGAGGTCGGGCATATGATATTCATAGCAATATACAGGTAATCCTCATTTAACAGCCGTTCAAAGTTTCAACAGGCTCAAAACCTGTTATTTACAACCTGTTTTCAAAGTTATGACTGCTGCACACCCCTCACAGTTACACAATTGTATTTTGATCCCTTGGCAACCACCCTCACATGTACAAGCGGTTATAGCATTGCCTGGTCACATTACTGCAATTTGCGATGATGTCAATTTAAGTATTTGATAACAGTTTACAATTGTCATTAAAAACAGTTGTAAAACCGAGTCAGGTCACCTATTGACCTGCTTAACAATGGCAACAACTGACAAGCAAAATTCCGAACCCAAATGTGGTTGATAAGTGACGACTACTTGTGTAACAATTTCAAGATATTGGTGATCTTATATGAGATTTGAGATTTCAAGCAATTTTTAGATGGCGGGAGAGAAGTCAGGGGCTCCGCAACTGAGTTATATTTATGATGGTTGCATTGTCCTGGGGTCATGTGATCCCTTTTTGCGATCTTCTGACAAGCCAAGTCAGTGAGGAAGCCCAATTCACTTAACAACCAGGTCTCTAACTTAACGACTGCAGTGAATCCCTTAAAAACTGTGGAGAGAAAAATCATAAAATGGGGCAAAACTCACTTAAGAAATGCCTCACTTAGTAACAGAAACATTGGGTTCAAGTGTGGCCGTAAGTCGAGGACTACCTGTATAGGACACATTCTCTCAGTGCTTTATTAAAGCCCCAGTTGTGAATTATCTACATGTAGCATCGCCCACAGAAATTATCCTGTGAGGCCTCCTTTCACTGAACTGTCCGCTTACTGAAATCACTGTACTTTCATGTGGTGGATGATAAGGTGGAACCGCAAAATAAAAAGATGTGTGCTCCCTCAGTACTTGTTCCTCCTCGTCACTCTCACTCGTCATTTCTTCGTGAATCTGGGTTGGAGGGTAGTCCCGTGTGTCAATGTCGTGGGCTACCAGGCGAATGATAAGGTCTTGCTTGCTCTCCACATCCTTCAGCAGTTCCACTTTTGTGATGTCTGGCTTTATCAGGCTTTGGAAAGAATTTCTGCAGACAGGCTGAAATCCAAAAGGGAAGCCAACCAACATCACATGGGCATACTGGTCCATTTTAAAATCAGTTAGTATTTAGGGCAGTGAATCCATTAAATTAGAAGATTAAAATAGAATTAAAATATTCTTTATTGGGCAAGTCACCTACCTGAAATGGTCTCTAGGTTCTCCTCAGTGGTGGGTTTCAAAAAAATTTGGAACCTACTCTGTGGGTGTGGCCTGCTTTGTGGGAGTGGCTTGCCAGCCATGTGACCGGGTGGGAGTGGCTTGCCGGCCATGTGACCGGGTGGGAGTGGCTTGCCGGCCATGTGACCGGATGGGAGTGGCTTGCCAGCCATGTGACCGGGTGGGAGTGGCTTGCCAGCCATGCGACCAGGTGGGAGTG